TCTCGGCCGCTTGTACCCGCGATCTCGTTCTTTCGGTCATGACCCATCCTTCATGACCATAGGTGAGGGTAGGAACGAAAATGGCGCGGTAGACAGAGAGCTTTGCCTTCTGGCTCAGCTCCCTTTTCGTCACAAAGGCGACTGCAGTACCGCTCCCGCTGCTCCGATTCTCCGACCCATCTCACCCTCCATTGTTCCCTCACTCGAGAACAAGACCCGTCCCCGAGATACTTGAACTCCTTCACTTGGGGTAAGGACTCATTCCCTGCTTGGAGTGGACAGTCCATCGGTTTCCTGCTGAGAACCATGGCCTCAGATTTGGAGGTGCTGATCCTCATCCCAGCCGCTTCACACTCGGTTGCGAACCGATCCAGTGAGTGCTGAAGGTCGCAGACCGATGAAGCCATCAGAACCACATCATCTGCAAAAAGCAGTGGTGCAATCCTTAGTCCACCGAACTGCAGACCCCCTCCCCCACGACTACGCCTCGAAATCCGATCCATGTATATTACAAACAGGATTGGTGACAAAGCGCAATGTTCTTTTTCAATATTTTTTTGTTGGGGCCCCAATGGCATTGACCGGTTCACGCAGTCTTCAAAGTAACCTAGCAACCTAAATTAATTTGTAATTGTCTGTCCAGTGACCTTGCTCCCTTTCATGTCATGTGATACCTTGCGTGACGAGCGAACCGTTTAATCAACCTGTAGGCTACTGTACTGTAGCTAGCAGCAGCAAGTTCGGCAGCATTATAAAAAATGTAATAGCTTGCATTTATAATGTACAGCAAACCAAAGCACAAGAGCAGCGCTCAAAATAGAAAGGACAAGAGAGAACAAGGACATGTAACAGCTAAACTGACAAAATTAGACCTTTTTTTTTGTCATACATCGTCCTCGAAATTGAGCGCTAACGTTAGCAATGTTGACGTGCAGCGGCAGCCGGAGGCTAACGATAGCTCACCACCATCATTGCCATCTAGCTCCACAAGTGAAGCTGTATCCGTGGCCGTGGCTGTGCGACCTTCTTCTCCAGCCAGCCAGGAGGAGAGGCTCGATTTGGCTGTGCCCGGCGGTGGTCCAACAGTTCCCCCAAGGGCCCCAACCGATAGGGGACTCTATGGCGCTATTGAGACCCCCGACGCCAAGATCTAAAGCTATATTATAGCAACCGGTCTATTTAGGCCTATCGGCCCATTCCCCAGAGACAAACATCAAGGAAACAGGTGCAATCCTCTTCTTAAAGCGCTGTGCCGTTGGCAGGCTGTGGTGGTCTGAGGCCAGGGCAGGCTGTGGTGGTCTGAGGCCAGGGCAGGCTGTGGTGGTCTGAGGCCAGGGCAGGCTGTGGTGGTCTGAGGCCAGGGCAGGCTGTGGTTGATAGCCTATCCCTATACAATACTTTTTTGTAGATTTGTTATGTACGTGTTTCCCCATATTTCAAGCTTGGTATGGAAATAAGTTATGACTCTTATCAACTGTTATGACCTGGCTCAAAAGGCCACAACAAAGAGGAGACATCAATGGTTAATAAAATATGTTTATTAAAGTAAGTAATTCAAATGAACCAAATTAAAGAAGTGCAAAGTGAGTAAAGCATGAGGTGTGGGCGTCAGTGGTATCAGTAGTGTAGATGCAGGGTGAGGATTGCATGGACGTGTATGTGTGAGGGTGTTGAGGTGCACAAAGTAAAGCAACTGAAGCAGCAACAGCATACTAAACAAAACCGGATGCTTGTAGGAAGGAGCAGAGAGAGCAGAGAGGGAGTTGCAGGGCACCGGACCCAGGTGCCCTAACACAGCACAGCCACACCCTCTCCAGGTGAGGTAGCATCACACAACTGGGATGTGTTATTTAAAAAAGTAACTATTTGAAAAGTGGGCTCTAATAAACTCATGAATACTGCTGTGTAATATATTTGTAAGAAGTGCAATAAAAGATAAACACAAGTTTCAGGTGTTCATATCCCATTATACTTTTTTTTAATTAGCTGCGGGCCAATTAAAAAAGGAATGTACTGTATTTAAAAAAGCCGAACATTCACATAAACATAGATTAAGAACATGAGAAGTCTACCTCTTCAGTGACGAACAAACTAAAGAAAAGATGGAAACATTTTAAAGGCAACTTTTTATTTATTTCTTTATTGGCAAATGCTTTGAATAAGGTTGAAGCAATGCGTCTATATACACCCCTCCGAACAGTGACATGTCAGAAAGCCTAAAGAAAAACACACTTTGTAACAGCTCGATTATATGATCGTTTTATACGCACACAGTTCTTTTGTTTTCCTTCAAAACGTTCACTTATTTTCAGTTTTTGGTTCGGGAAACATCTACAAATGTCTACATTAAACAATGCAATTAAGATATACATACATTTATAAAAACAAAGGTTAAAACATGCAGGGTGTGTAGTGCGTCACAACCTTTTGTAAAGTATTTTCAAAGAAAGGCAGACGGACCCACGGACAGAGAGGAGGGTTGATAATAATAATTGTTATATAGATATACAGTCATTTCCTAAAAAAACCTCTATGCCAACTCTCTTATATTGGTTTTAATTTATGTGCAAAAGAAGCTTGTCCATGTCCAACGTTAAATACATTTTGTTATGTCTAATGCTCAAGTCTATGCTACCAAGCTGTGAGGAGCTCAATATACAAAATGTGATAATTATATTATTTAAGTTTCACTGCCCAAGCCTTTAATGATCATTAAATGACTCACTTCCTGTGCTGTAGTAGTGCTCTTTGACCCTTTATTGTCCTGTGATGCTAACGCTAACCGAGCTAACAGACTGGTGCAGGGATGACGTATTTTTTTAATCCGACCCCGAAGGCAGCATCTCCCTGGTTCCCTCTGCTAAAAGCCAATGGGATTTCTCCATGGGTCTGTGGTAAACAAAACGTTTAGGAAAAGCTATAAAGGAACTACAGCACGGTCACTGACTCGCCTGTTAGCATCACACAACTCACCTAACTAAAGGTCATCACGCCCAACATTAGCCGCCGTTAGCTTAGCATGAAGTCATGTGACCGTGCTATGAGTCAGGTGATGCTAACAGGCGAGTCGTGATGCTAACATGTGAGCCAGGTGATACTAACTGGCGAGTCGTGATGCTAACAAGTGAGTCGCGTGATGCCAACAGGCGAGTCGTGATGCTAACATGTGAGTCAGGTGATGCTAACATGTGAGTCAGGTGATGCTAACAGGTGAGTCGTGATGCTAACAGGCGAGTCGCGTGATGCCAACAGGCGAGTCGTGATGCTAACATGTGAGTCAGGTGATGCTAACTGGCGAGTCGTGATGCTAACAGGTGAGTCGTGATGCTAACAGGCGAGTCGCGTGATGCCAACAGGCGAGTCGAGATGCTAACAGGCGAGTCGTGATGCTAACAGGTGGATTCGTGATGCTAACAGGTGACTCAGGTGATGCTAACATGTGAGTCAGGTGATGCTAACAGGTGAGTCGTGATGCTAACAGGCGGATTCGTGATGCTAACAGG